TTAAAAAAAAAAAAAAAAAAAAAAAAAAAAAAAATAAATACCTATTGTAGGATAATATTAAAGAAGTATCTGTAACATTTTTTTGTTTGGATCAGATTTTATGGACCTGACTGGATGATATTTTTAAAGAGTAAATAAAAAAAAAAAATTGCTCACTAACATCACCTCTTCTTTTTTGTTTCGCATGTATCAAATATTAAATGATGTTAGCAATGGTACTTAATTTGAAAAATCACCTTTGGTAATTAATATTTGTTCAATTAGTTTAAAAAATGTGTAAACCCTGCTTAATCAATAATTGCTATCTAATTACAATAATATTTTTTCTTAACATTCCAAAATTTTTTTCAATGTTTTACAACTTCTGATTAGCAATACAGTGGATTCAGCTTTATTTTTATTGGCAGTTGTTCTACCTCTTCTCCAATCAGTCATTCTTTGATTTTTGTATTTTTCATTTAAAACGCTTTATATTGGTCCAACATAGCAATATTAATATTAAGCAGTAGCAATATTTAATAGGCGTTCTGAATTGCACTTTCGTTATTGTAACGCTTTTTATTTACAGTTGTCATATTTTCATTTTATTATATGACGATTGCGCCGTGTCACATTTTTGTTCAATATTACACGGACATGAGTATTAAAGGAAAATGTATATTATCATTCATACAAATACAAATTATATCACTTAAAAAAACGCAACATTTATATTAAAATCTTCATATGAATATGTGTGAAAAATATAGTTTAACTGATACTATACACAAAATAATCTTCCTGTATTACTTGAATATCAATCAAAATGAACTTAAAATGCAGTCTCTTGCAATATATTGCAAATAATTCAAATCCTACATTGCAAAACTAATATCAGTCTGATAGAATTTATTGTTTCATTAAGAAGAATCTTATGTCTTAGTTCCTGGTAACAAATGTCTCTCTATAAATGCGATATTACCATTCCCATTTCTCTAGTTACAAACTCAAACCAAATTGCACACAACTATCAAAACAAATGGAACATGTTTCATTTTCTGACTATCTCAATTGTTTAGGATAAGATTTTGAACCCTTAATCGACCATACAGGCTAACCCATTGACGCTATAATCGGTCATCAACTATCGATCATGTATGCCTAGGCTAAAGCTCATCTAAAATAATACTTTAGACAATGTTACTGCTTTAACAAAGAAAATTACGTGTTGGATGAAACAAGAATATTCCTTCATTGCATATTGCTAATGCATCATTACAGATTATTGTACAAGAAAATTTGTTTCTTTACATAAAGAAGTGCTAGTTTTTGAACACAATTAATTAACATGTAAATAAAAAGAACGGTTTTTGTGGAATTCTTAAATTTACAGATTTAAAACAAGTGCTTTCTTTATTTGCACTAAGTTTTATAATATATCAAAGAAATGCATAATAATTAAAACAAAATTTCATTTCCTTTATATGAACAGGGTTTTATACACTTATGTTCATATGTTTAATGATTACTTCCAGTCATTTTTGTCATTATAACTTGTATGCAATTACCCAATTTATAAATAAGTTACTTATAAGATTAAATATGTTTGCTTTGACACTCAAATTGAGAATAGCGGAACCAACATATGTATCTGTATACATACATATTTTATATATTACGTATTATACATACACGCACACGCAATACTATATATTATAATTTTATGATCAATGCATATGAAAAACAAACTTCATCACTGCTGTGTTAGTACAGTCAATAAATTCACACGCATAATATGTCATTTTGTATAATTATACTTTAGATCATTTATTTTCTGTGCAACATGTGGCGCAGAAGTAAGAATTAAGTGCTATTAAAATTGAACTAGCAGTACTGATTTTACTGTGTTGATTGTTTTATCATAAGCACAAATAACACAGATGTGAAAGTGATTGTGCTGATAAAATTGTATAAAAATTATACATTCTGCACCACATGTAATTTAATTATTAGTCTTACATTTTTCTCGGTGCATTATTCAGCTCTGTAGACCTTATATATAATATCTTATTAGTACTTATAGGAAGGAATCGTAGATTTTAGGCCACTAATAGGCCAAACATGTACTTTTATGAAATAATCCAAACTTATGTCTTATAAACATTCACAATACATTTACAAAAATTTAATGAATATAATCAAAAGGAAAGTGTCATAGAAGTGTATTCTATGTATTATGCAAAAAAAGCTGTTAATAATTTTCTCCGTTAATTTTCCCTTACAAAATTATAGCTATTAATTCTAAATTTATAAAGCTCAGAAAATGGAATTTGTAAAAAATAAGAAAAAATGCATTACAACAAACAGCATGTAATTTGTCCCTTTCTTCACTATTGTCCATTGTATTTTTATATTCATCAATATTTACGTAATTTTCTTATTATTATTGTTATTGTTGTTATTGTTATTATACTCTTTTTTTCAAGTATATGATTTAATTCTTATATCATATAATTATGCAACATGGTTTAATAAGCAGCATAGAATAATTTTCTACATGTATACTTAGTTTCCCAAGTGTTACAGCACCAGCACCTTCGTTGGTAGTAACAATTGCTATGAGGTAAATGTTATCTCAATACCAATTATCTTCATATCTTTTTGTATAAATGTATAATTTTAAACCAATTTTAATTAGAATCCTTTAACAGTTTATTTTTGCATATAGTTAGCATTTTCTTTTGAGCTAGTGTATAAATTAATAAAAATTAAATAATCACAACCCACAATTTAAACACAATATTATTTAATCCTTATAACAATTATATATTATGAGAGTTACGTTGTAAGTGCATTTTATTGTAAAAAGTCACTTCAAGAATTGCTGCTCTGCTCTGCTCTTAATAATGACACAATATGAAATTTATAAAAAAAAAAAAGAAAAAAAAAAATTACATATATATAAGAAAGTATTCTTACTTTGAATGCAGGTAAGAATGTGTTTCAAAAATCAGAAAAAGATGATTCAATATGATGACTTATATCTTGTGTAACATTAGTTCAACTTGTTTTCACAGGACTGTCATCCAATTTTTCTGGATTTACAATTACTTGTATTACATAACCTGGTTGTATCTTTGCTTCTTCTATATGCATTTTATCACCTAATAGCTTTCCACCAAAAAACCACCTTTGACGAGAAGGTTCTAGACCTTCCTGACTCTATCCATGTAAATTAAATCATAAATTAATGTAAAATAGAAAAAAATAAGCTTAATACAAATAATTTCATACATACCTGTAATTTCTTTTTTGCAGTAGCAATGGTGTCTTTACTGTAAACAGGCAATTTAACTTCTCCTAATGTTGTTGATAATCTTAACTTCAATGTCTGTTCAACTCCACTATCAATAGGTTCTATAAATAATTAGAACAATTACAAAAGTTGATCTTCCTTTAAAGACTATTATTAAATCCCTTGAGAACTTTTTTATCAAAATTAATTACATTACCTGAACAGTCAGCAGGGGAGTCTCTTCCACTATCTTCTTTTACAATATTAATTGGATATGATAAACAATAAATAGGGACTTGATATCTGGTTCCCAATTCATCATAACATTCTGTAAGAAAGCCATTTGGCACAGAAATATTAGCTCCATCTAATATAGCCTGTGCTAATTGATAATCCTGGGCTTCTGCTGCTGTTGCTCCAGCTCTTAATGCATCCCATATCTCTTTACGTCCATCAAATGCAGGTGCAGTATCCCAAAATTCATCTCTTTTACTTCTTAGCTGTCCTTCTGTCAAAGGTACATCTGACTTCCACCTAATTGCCTCATGGCATAATGGATGGTTCTTCCTTGAATTTCCTGTGTAAACAAAGCATTTTTTCATAACATTAATTTTTTATAAAATTGAGGAATTTCATTAAAAAATCGTATAAATTTGATAAAACTAGAGATAATTATGCTAAATAAAGACAATAATTTGTATTAACACATATAAGGCACATAATGATTCCAAGTTTTAATAAGGTGACAAGCAATGTTGAAATTTTAATACTTGTAGCAATAACGTAAAAATATTAAAAATAATGAAATTTTTGATAAATTTGTCTGATATCACAAAATATTATAATGAATATATATAATTGCACAATATATCATGTAACAAATAATATGCATATATCGCGACATAACACGCAATAAACGTTAGGTACGAAGGTAAGGGAAAAACCTGAACTGTCTTCAAGGTTAGCTGTTGTTGATTGCAATTTCTACGCAAATAATTCCGTATCAATTTTTACCTGAATTTATTCGCGTAGAATTTCCTGTAGTATTATCAACGGAGGCGTCTCTTGCCCTTGTTATACCTATGCAGCCTCCCATCCTAGGTGGCTGGTGTAACCAAACATTTCACTGAAATTTAACAACACCTCACATGCCATTTTCGTCCATCTTATCCACTAAATTACAAATCGGTACCATTAGAGGCGCTATAATCGAATCTTTAGTAACCTAACCTAAAATGTTAACACATATAAATGTGTTTAAAACCTAAATTAAACAAGTTTTGCAAACAATTTTTCAGCACATTTAATATTTTATTAATACGTAACGCGCGGAATAATAGTTGTTAATAAACATTTTATTTCGATTATATTTAATAGTTTCAAGTGGAAAAATTAATTACCGTTACTTTCAATAGAATTATATTTTATTAATATATAAGGTTATTAATATATAAGGTTAAGTAACATAGTAGGAAGGTATGGTTTGCGATGGCTTCACTTACAAGTACCGTTTTTAAAGAAAGATTTCTTACTGCTTTTAATGAAAATGAAATACTGAATGCAACATGTCAAGAGATTGCCTTAGGTGTGTATTAATTACCATAATTGTTCTTCCTATACATGTTGATAATTGGCCTTGATATTTGAAGCAAAAACTTAATACACACAGTAAAAATTTGTTTTTATTTTGCTGAAATATCACCTACGCTAGCACATATATGATCAAAATTGTTATATATTACAAAATTGTTGAATTAGAAATTTAAATATTTGTGTAAGTTTTATACCTCTTAAAAATAATTATTTTTTCTAACTTAGAAATACAATCTGGGTATGCAAAACTTTATGCGGTTGTGGAAGAACTTGGAACTTTTTTGACTGAAAAAGATGTTAAATTACGGGAGAAGGGCATTTGTGCCCTTTCTACTATATTATTTCATTTACCCAAAGATTTCTTAAATGAAAATGAATTGGATTTTATGACATCATTTTATTGTGATAGATTAAAAGAACATCATAATATTATACCTGCAGTATTGAAAGGAATTTTATCGATTGTAAGTTTTATATTTAATACTACATCTATATTTAAATATAACAATTAAATAAAGTAATATCATTGTTTCAGGTTCAAATGAAACATTTTCCTAAGGATTCACCTGAACGTTTATTTAGGGTTCTTTTTGAGAATGTTCAATGCCAATCTCAATTATTGCCTGATCGCCGGAATATATATCTAATATTTATAACATTATTGAAAAATAGAATAGAAGATTTAAAATCTATGGGCCCAGATTTTATTTATGGAGTTATTAGTGCTATAGATGGAGAAAGGGATCCTAGAAATCTTATGCTATTATTTAGCATACTTCCTTATTTTATGACAGAATTTTCATTGGGCCATTTAACTGAAGAAATGTTTGAAGTCATTGCATGTTACTTTCCAGTTGACTTCAATCCTGTAATTAGATCAACCAATCAAGATTTTAATTGTTCATCATTTATGAATATGAATTATAATTTGACTTGACATTTTTCAGTCTGGAACAGAGGGAATAGAAATAACACGTGATGATTTGGCAGAAAAATTAGCACCTTGTCTTTGTGCTATACCAGAATTTGCAGAATTCTGTATTCCACTTATAATTGATAAATTATTTTCCAATCTTAAAGTTGCCAAGTTGGACTCTTTGAGTTTATTATGCAAAGGTGCACAGACATTTGGTGTAAAAGGCCTTAAACAACATTTGATTGAGCTATGGTCTGTTGTAAAAAAAGAAATTATGCCAGGTGGAGATATAGAATTAAAAAATGCAAGTTTAAAAGCTGTTATATCTATAATTGAAACTATAACAAGTGATGTTAAACTTTGTGAAGATTTCATTGACAATATAATCACAGATATAAAGTCATCTTTGTATGATGTGCAGCTTAGTTTGTTTAGGCCATCTGTAAAATTACTAGAATCTGTGGCAATGATCAATGAAGGATCATGCGCTCAAGTATTAAAAGTAATCGTACCATTATGTCTTGGCCAATATTCAACTAAGACTTCAATAACTGATAAAGTAATTTTAATTGAAACATTAAATAGTTTTATTAAAATTGCTGCTGACCACAAATTTACTGTCAAGGGTAAATATGTATCTTATATTCTTTGAGATATGTATTGAAAAGTATTTCGAGTGAGATATAAAATTCTTTTTAGATGTTCCAGAATTAGCATGGACAGATATACCAAACTTATATTTAAATGAACTATCAATACAGAATACCGAATTACAAACAAAGATATTGTTTGGCTTAACAGTGCAGAAAGCGCATTTAAACGAAATACATCGTGCTCAACTTTATGACAAAATTTGTAGTCTAAGTGAAATAAATTATAATGATACAAAAACACTTTGTTATTCGTCTCTTTTAAATTTTGCTATGTTGTATCCACGCGAAATATCAGCTTTGATCAAGGAAAAATTTCAGTTAGATAATGGTAAAATATTAAATTTAATATTCATAATATTTGAAATGTTGATCTTAAAATATAAATTTTTTATTTTAACTGTTTCAGGTGAGGAGAAAATAAAAATACAAATCCATAAACTAGAAGTACTAACAGCTGTTGCTAAAACATATGAATTAGGTATTGAAGTTCTTCCACAAATTGTATCACAAACGAATGTTATGAATCCTGATATAAGCTTTACAGCTTTAAAATGTCTTCATAGGCTGGTTACTACAAAAAATATTGATTATAATGTTCAACATTATTTATACCATGAATGTAATATTATTGAAAAATTGACCACCTTTAACATCAGTCCTATGGATCAAAGATTAGATTTAGTTTTAGATATTTGTCGATTAATTGTACGGAATCTTACGCTCGAAGAACAACAGAATGTTGTCAATAAATATGCTACAAGTTTAAGTCAACAAATTTCGGAATCTGATGCAGTTTTAGTAATGAATATTTTCATTCCCTTGCGTCAAAATATCGATTTAGCAATGAATCTAAATTTATTACAAAACCTTCATAATTTAGCCCTTAATAGTAATCACTCAAATATAAGGCTCATAACATGTAAATTTATTGCTGTAATATTAAACAAAATTAATGATAATAGCGAACACTTCCAGCATATTTTATTATATTTTAAAGAAAAGATAAATAATAACTTGAATTCAGATATTAATATTGAAATAGTGCGAGCAACAGCTTCTTTACAAGTATGGCTAACAAAAGCTATAATTACAAAAGGTTCCTGTAATGTTGAAATATTTTTGGATGAAGTATGTAAATATATTCAGTATGTTTTACTTAATATTGTATATTTAATATTTCATGTTTTTTAATATTATATTCACAGCTTACTAACATTTTGAAACATGACCGAATAGGTCAATATGTAGCACAAGAGTATAAAATTTTGACAAATAGACATGAGGATACTTTGGTAGAAACAAATTTTTGTAATGTCAAAATTTTTTATAAACAAAGAGTGTTTGAACACTTAATTAAGAAAGATTCGGAATTCGAAAATACATCAAGGCAAAACTATCTAAGCGCATTAATACAGCTATTGGAAGATGTACCTGAGGAACTTTTATTTATGTATTTAACTAAGGTACTACTTACATATAAATATAACTAATACTGTTCATATCAATAATAACTTTTTTTAGCAAAATATTCAGTAAAATATTCTCTTTCAGTTGGTCCCACTTTTGATAGAATCTTTGTCTCTTGACAATGAACAACTGATATTTGTAACATTGACAATGTTGAATCTCTTATTGGAGAGTAAACATAATATCTTTTCTGATAAAATTCAATGTTTTATTCCAAGGCTACTAAAATTATTTATGTACAAAACAATGGTAATATTTTACAGAATTACTTGATACTTCAAATGTATATTATTTTATATTCATTATATATTTAAATATCGCAGAAAGTCAGAATAGCAGCTTTAGAGTGTTTAACGAATTACTGCAATTATCCAACAATTTTAATTAACACGTATAAGCAAGATGTATTAGAAAAACTATTAATACCAATTGACGATCGAAAACGTTTAGTCCGAAAAGCCGCAGTAAAAGCAAGAACACGATGGTTCTTAGTTGGCGCGCCAGGAACAATAACAGAACAATGATCTGTTTATTTTAAGTCATTAAATTTATTACAGTAAAACATTTTATAATTCAGAAATAAATACATTTATTTTTATTTAATATAAGTTTATATAAATTTAGTTGTAGTGTTGGTTTGTATATTCTTAAAGTTACATACATAAGTTTAATTTTATATAATCATTTACATATATGTTAAAAGCAAATGAGAAAAAGCAATTTCTCTTACTGTACTACTTTTTCCTTGTAAGAGTAAAGAAACTGATTCATCATATTGTATTTGTCCCATATATTGTACATAATGTACATAATTGAATAAAGAATTGATTTCTGTAATGGGATTGAAACCTGAAAGTTACTCTTTAATGCATTTAGTACACCAGAAGCATGGGTGATGGTAAGACTTAGCTTACAATAATTTATTTTTTTTCAGTTTCAAGAATCTAAAAATTATGTGAAAAATGTGTATCATATCAAAATTTATCTGTAGGTATAGTAAAAAATGGTGCATATAAATATGAAGATGGTACGAAATATATTGGAGATTGGAATGCAAAGGGGTTGAAACATGGTGCTGGCTCTTTACTTCTTCCTGATGGAACACGTTATGATGGTGGTTTTCAAAATGGATTGTGTTCGGGTTTGGGAGTTATAGTGTTTCCAGATGGAGCAAAGTAAATATCATGAAATTATAGGTATTTTATTTGTTATAATTATTAAGCTTTTACCATTTTTATATATTAGATATGAAGGTGAATTTATGCAAGGCTGGTTTCATGGTCATGGTGTATTTTGGAGATCGGATGGAATGAAATTTGAAGGAGAATTTCGTGGTGGTCGTGTGTGGGGACTAGGTATGTAAGCTCTTAAATATCAATACTGTATTATAATTGTTAGTTATATTATAGTATAATAGTATAATATATTATACCATGTTAATATCCAGGATTAGTTACTTATGCAGATGGATCACATGGTTTTCCTAGAAATGAAGGTTTCTTTCAAGATTGTAAACTTGTACGTCGTAGATATTGTCCAGACATAGTACAGAAGGCACAGAAGATTTCAATGATGGCTCGTGCCCAATGTAATTAAAAATTAGATGGAAATAAAAGTCAGTTACATTAAATCTTAATAAAGAGACCTAAGATGTTATACTGTCATTTAATTATTAATTCCAAAAACAGTATTAGATATTATTAATATATAATTTATATTAATATATTAATATATAATATATAATTTATATTAATATATAATATATTAAAATTTCTGATAAAGGTTATTAGCTGACTTATAACTTATATAAACTTAAAATACAGTTTTCTATATACAATTTCAATTTAACATTTTACATTTCGTTATTTATTGAATATTGTAAGGATTACTAAATCTGTTAATGAATTATTCTGCCCTTAATTGTGCAAAATAAAAATTCCTCTGAATATATTTACATTTTCAATCAATAAAATACATAATCCTTTTATTATAAATAGTGTACAAGGAATGAATGTTTTGCATATGTATGTACGCGCGCGCGCGCGTTGACAGGGTGGGGGAAGTATAGGCTTATACAAAATGTAAGAAAACATAACTTATATTATTTAGAATTTTGTAATATAAGTTTTCTGATTCGTTATGCTTGTTACACGGTAACAAATTTTAATTCTCCATTGAAATTCTTGCTTAATTTGCAATAATGCTCATCACATTATTTCATGATTTGTACAATACTTTTGATACAGATTTTGGTAACATGGATTTATGACGTCAGTAATCTGATGTCACACGTGAGGATAAGAAAAATTAACATAAACTAACTTTTTTACAATTTCATGGCTATCATTCTGCGTTGTTCCGGGAATTTGAAAGGCAAATAAGGGTTAAAGGAAGGAGTACGGAATAAGCAGACATTTATAAAACATGTTTTCGAGATAATATTAACCAGCTGTAATCATACGATGTTGCTAAACCTAGATAAGCAGTGATTGTGATACAAGTTCTACGAATTTTCATAGATTTAACAAAATATTTAATAATGTAAATAACATGAAACTTAATAACTTAAAACTATAACAAGCTATGAATCAGTATTTATATAATAAAGTTAGTTTATCATTAAAACAAAACTATTACTCAATAGTAAGATAGATGATCATTTTTTTTATAAAATTTTATAATCGTTACACGACTTCCTAACATTTCCATAGGAAGAATCTAATTGTACATTGAAATGACATCTCCAGGTAAGAATAAATTGTCCTTTATGTTTGTTGCTTTTGCTTATTGCCATTATACCGTACACGATACAGTTATAACAGTTTTCTATTGCTTCATTCCTATCGTTGGTTAACATGGAGATGGTGCTTGTATTTTGTTCCCTCTCGTGTTTTGATTAGCCAATAGTCAATATCTATTAGATGTTAGCATCGTTCTGCTTTTTTCATTTTTGTCTGAAATTTAATAAAGACTTGGCACACGCGTTATCACAATAATTTCGTGAACATATATATACCGCCGCTCCTATAATTCGTCATTTAAGATCGTATAAAGTATTGATGACGTTATTTCGCAAGTAATATTAACAATTATTATCTATGATTTAAAATTAATTAAAATTAAATGAAAATATTGATTAAATAACAATCATATCATATATGTTAATTCATCATTTAAAGATAATAAGTTTTTATCTAGCGTATTTAATGTAGTTTTTTGTTAATCGATTGAAAATATATATAAAAATTAATTTATAAAAGGATAATTTCATTTTTATTAATAATAAAAATATAATATCATACAATATTATGCAAATCCAAATTGAAATCGTTTAAAACAGTTGTTAAAATACATCTTTTATCATAAATATAAAATGTATTTTTCAATCTAGTATATTCATGTTTTTGATCCATGACATGCATAATGAGAGTAACCTTTGCCTTGTTAAAGAGGATGAAACACATAAATACATACTATATTAGTTGTTTGTGTTTGTTGTATTGTTCAATGATTCGTTAATAATTTATAATAAATATTCAGTAATTTAAAAAATATATATTTTACATAAAAAGATTAATATTCTTTATATTGTTAATATAACTTTTTTAAATTTTCAGTCAAGGAATTATATATTATATTAGGGAGAATTATAAATGACTCAAAGATCAGCAATGAGTCCTCAGACTTATAAAAATCACATCACAGCAAAAGCTATGTCATCCAATGGTTATACTGGTACTGAGACTCCAATTAAAGAGTTCAAAAACCATTCATCACCTTGTGAGTCATTCAATTGTATGTGTGCTTAGAGTAGCCACTTTTATTTTTTTATTATTACTACTTTTATATAAGAGCATCACTTTACTGATAGTTTAATAATTATAATTAATTTATTATAAGAAAATATTTTAAGTTAAAAATTATTGTGACCCTCTTATGTAATAATTATGATTCTATTTTTTATTATTATGTTTTTATATTTGAATGCTTAGATTTTTGTAATTGTTTATATATGTTGCATTCATGTACATTGTAATAGAAATATTATAAAAGCCTGTAATATATTTATAGTTTATAGTTTTTTATTGTATGTATAAATATTGTATGCTTCATATATAAGAAATTAATATATTATTGTAAAGGCTGCATTTTGTTTGAATATTTATCATTTAAATATTCCTAATGTTCATGATTTATCAGATTCATGTTATTTGGTATAATAACATTTTTTTTTGTTTTTAGCAATGCCATGGTTTGGTATGGATATAGGTGGTACATTATGTAAATTAGTATATTTTGAACCTAAAGATATTACAAGAGATGAAGCAGATGCTGAAGTTGAGACTCTAAAAAATATTCGACGATATTTAACTAAGAATTCTGCATATGGGAAAACAGGTCATAGGGACACACATTTACAAGTATGTTTCAAGAGTATGTTTTCTGAATACTTTATCTTGAATATTTTATTCTGAATGCTATAATCCTAATATTATTACAAATACACGTTGTGTTGTAGATGGATAATATTTGTATTAGAGGTAGACGTGGTACTTTACATTTTATTAGATTTCCTACAAGTGAAATGGGGAATTTTTTAGCATTAGCTAGGTCTAAAGGTATGGCAAATCTTGTAACAACAGTCTGTGCTACTGGTGGAGGAGCATACAAATTTGAAAAAAATTTTAAACAAGTAAGATATGTTCTTCTCTACATTATAATATATTTCAATACATCTTCAATGTAAATCTAAATAATTGTTTTTTTCTTATAGGAAGTAAATATGAATTTAGCAAAATTTGATGAACTAGATAGTTTAATACGTGGTATGCTTTATATAGAAACAACGAATCCACATGAATGTTATTATTGGTCTCATCCTACGGATGATAGTAAATGTCAGAAGATTCCTTATGATTTCTCTGAACCCTATCCTTTTGTAGTATGTTTAATTTTTTAAAATACTAATTTGTGTTTACATAATATTAGTGTATTGTATACAATAAATTAAGTGATGTTTTATAAATACCTTTTGCAGCTTGTAAATATAGGGTCAGGAGTGAGCATATTAGGAGTCTATGGGCCAGAAAATTTTAAAAGAATATCTGGTACCAGGTATGTTCTTTTTATTTCAATATAAATACATATTGTTGAATTAAGAATATATAGTAACATATCCTTTTATATCTAGTCTAGGTGGTGGCACATTTTTAGGATTATGTTGTTTATTAACCGGATGCAACACTTTTGAAGAAGCAATAGAGTTAGCAACTGGGGGTGATAATACTAGAGTGGACAAATTAGTTAAAGATATTTATGGTGGAGATTATGGACCTTTTGGTCTTCCAGGAGATCTCGTTGCAAGCAGGTAGGACTTTTAATAATTATATAAATGTTTCTGTTTTTTTGCATGTTTATAATGTATTTTTTATTCAGTGCACTTTGTCTTAATTATATGTGTAGCTTTGGACAGATGAATTCCAAAGATCGACGGAATACTGTTAGTAAAGAAGATCTTGCACGTGCGACACTTGTTACTATCACAAACAATATCGGTTCTATCGCCCGTATGTGTGCTGTTAATGAAAAGATTGAAAGGGTATGGAATATTCGCAATTAATGTATTTATGGTATTTAATTCTTAATAGTAATACAATTGGTAATTTCAGGTAGTATTTGCAGGAAATTTTCTTAGAGTGAACCCTATATCAATGAAACTTCTGGCCTATGCTATGGATTATTGGTCTAAAGGAACAATGAAAGCTTTATTTTTAGAGCATGAGGTGGAATATATATTAAAATACATTTTTAAAAATAAGTTTAAAGAATTTAAATGTATTTATGTCTTTTCTTCTTTTTCAATTGTAGGGTTATTTTGGTGCAGTAGGATGTCTTCTCCAATTTAAGGGCGAAACAAATTAAAAATACAAAAAATGAATGAGCATTCCATTTGATATACTAACTCAAATGAATCTTTTTCATGAAGATGGTTATATAATTATTTAACGTAATTATTTATTTTTGTTATGTAATATTTAGTTTTTCAGAAAGTATTGTATATGTTGTATATGCAATTACAATATTACACCAAATTTTAATAACGGTAAAAACCTAAGGTCGGGATTGTATTATCTTTAAATATGACCATATTTATTATAATTTTAATGAATGAGCACGGTATAATTATTTTCGAACGTGTTACGTAATTATTGCATAAACACCTAATGTGGGCACAAACCTTGCACGAGTTTATACAGAAAAATACAATGGACCAAAACTCAAACACATACAACTTACTAAACTATTCTTTATATGGGTAAAATGAGTCTACCTCATGTTTTACTTTCTAAATATTTGTATAAATATATGCTCAGATTCTTACATACAAGGTATGATATTTATTATGTGTACATTTTCCAATTGTTTACAATTATTAAAGAAAAAAAAAAAAAAAGGAACAAAAAAGTACTTGCATTCATAATGTATTTAATAGTTGTTATTACTATTGATTATACCAATAATATGTTTTTACTTTGATCATTAAAAAGTATAAAATGACTCATTAGTGATCTATTGTAATTAAATTATGATGGTTAAAATTAATACAAAATACATTGGTCAGTGGCCACATTTATAGGTTATTCACATGCATTTTTTAGCTATTGAAAAAATACACTGGGTAATGTATACTTATCGTTATTGAATTATAGAATTTTGTATACTTATCGTTATTGAAACGTGTTATGCATAGGGTGCTTCAAGATGTAGACACGTAACGTATTATTATAAAACATTTCTTTTATAAAATAATTTATAATGAAAACAATAGAATGAGAAATATCACGAAGATATTTGTACTATAGCACTATAAAGAGAAAATGTTTTTTCTAAACGTATTTTATATGTTTAACGTTATGACTAACATTTGTATGAATTTACAAAAATAAAAAAAAGAGCAAATTTTTTTATAAGTTTATTTTTATGAAATAGACACAAATGTAATCTCCTTATATTAATAAATAATTCCATACTGGCGAGATATTAGAAGCTTTAAACTGTCATTGTAAACTAATGTTCCGTCTATGTTAAATAGACTTGCATGCATTTAATGTTTTTATTGGATAAATAATACCGTTATTGGAGAATAAAATAGTATTCTTTCCTTCTTATCATATTATACATTGTACTGCGTATTCTATATGTTCCCCTGATACTGTAAAGTTTTGGTTACTTAGCAACTAGTCTGACAAAACACTATAACATCACGTTGAAATCATGTAGTGATCTTTATACAATGAAATTATAAAATAAAGATATAAATATTTTAAAATAATAATTGATACTGGTATTCTTTATAATCTATTTTATATTTTCGTAAATTTTTATTTATAAACAGCGAAATTATAATACATACAATTTTTGTGATATTCTATTTTGATCTTAATTTTTTGTAAAAATGGTGAGTTTGTAAATTTCTAATTGTAAATGTAATCAATTGTAATTATATAAATACAAAACTATTTTTTTTGTCTCTATTCAAATTATGTAGGGGCCTAAAAAAGCAAAAGTACCTAACACTGTTGATGGAGTAGATACAACAAAAATGAATAGAGAACAATTAGAAATTTATGCTCACAAGATTCTTGAGGAAATGGAGCGTGAACGGGAGGAAAGAAACTTCTTCCAACTTGAAAGAGATAAGATTAGGACTTTTTGGGAAATTACGAAACATCAATTAGATGAAGCACATGCAACTGTCAGGTATTTCTATACACTTGACTATAAATTTAATATTTTACTGACATTTAATTGAAGTATGCGATTTTCAAAGAAATAAAGAACGTGAAAAAGAAGAGTTATCAGAAAAACATGAAGCAGAACTCAAATTATATAAGCAGAAAGTAAAACATTTAATGTACGAGCATCAGACAAATTTGTCAGAAACTAAAGCTGAACATATGGTTGCCCTTAAAATGGCACAAGATGATCATACTCTTCAAGAAAATGAATTAATTAAAGATAAAAGAGAATTGAAACGATTGCAAAAAGAACAGGATTTAGCCCATATAAATGAAATAAAAGCATTAAAATTGGTATGAAAGAAATAAAAAATGCTTTTTATTGTTATTGAACACTTTGTGTAAATGAAAATTTATTATTTAGCAACACATGGAGGATACAGATAAACTAATAAAACAATTTGAAACTGAAGCTGCAGAAATGGAACAAAAATATGAACAAAAATTAACAAGCCAATATGAATCTCTTACTTTAAAACATCGTATGGAAATAACTGAAGTAGAAGAAAGAAAAAATACGCAAATTGCAAATTTGATAAAAAATCACGAGATTGCATTTGCGGAAATGAAAACGTATTATAATGATATTACTCTCAACAATTTGTCTTTGATAAAGAGTATGAAGGTATAATTGGTAAAAGTAAAAAGTTATATATTTATTAATATCATTGGATTTGTAGGACCAAATGGATGAAATGAGAAATAACGAAGAGCGTATGAAGAAACAAGTTCGAGAACTAACAACTGAAAATAAAAAATATTCTGCCGATATAAAAATGCATGAAGAATCCTTAGCGAATTTTACTCGCCAACTTGCAAATTATGAAAAAGATAAACAAAGTTTGATCGTTGGTATTTACCATTTTTTTTCCATATGTCTATTATTTTTTTTCTAATGCTTTAATAATTTCAGAATACTAAGAAGAGATTAGCGATAACCAATAAAGATTTTGAGAACTTGAAATGGGAGAATGAAGTACTAGAATTACGTTTCGAAAAAGTAAAAAAGGATATATTTTTTTTTCTAAAAGAATTATATTCATTTTTTTCTAATTAACAGTTGATATGTTATTGTTTAGTGCCAGTCTGAAAGAAATGAATTACATTCAAGATTTGTCGCAGCAATACTAGAATTGCAACAGAAAACAGGCTTAAAGAACGTTCTTTTGGAAAAGAAACTTGAGAAATTATCGGATTTATTGGAACAGCGTGAAGCACAGATTAGTGAAGTGCTTGCTGCTGCTCAATTGGATCCAATGGCCGTTATTAATGCTAATAAAAAATTAGAGGTTCGTACATTTCTTTGCTTTTTCTTTTCATATATGTACATATAAGTCAATTTTTCCTGTAGAATATGTTGAATAGAAAAAATAGCGCGATACAAGATCTGCAATATGAGTTGGCAAAAGTTTGTAAAGCGCATGACGATCTACTTCGAACGTACGAAGCTAAATTACAAGAATACGGGATTCCAAAGAGCGAACTTGGTTTTCAGCCTCTGAAAGTGAAGGCAATAACTGCGAAGTTGGGATTAGGGCCTGCTGGTCTTGTTACCATGAATCATTAGTCTATAAGATTTTAGCAATATTTTTTATTTTTTATTTATTATACAGTACACTTCCACTAATAATTAGTGAAATGTAAAATAATAAAATAAGATTAACGCAGAAAGAATTTAAATAATCTCTGATGCAAAATTTCTTTATTTTGTGAAACAAATAAGTTTCAACACATCTGTTTTATTTTCTTAAAAATTACATAAAATTATCACAGAATGTACAGAGTAGATCATAGTGATGCCTGATAGTTGTATGCTTGTTCAATTTTATCTATTTCATTATTTATTCAATCCTTTTATCATTTATTTCAAATATTTCAATAGTAAATTATGATGCCCCTTTTTATCATATGTTGTAATAACTGTTTAACAACTAACAGGCACAAGTATACTGAAAATGTTTATATATATATATATATATATATATATGTGGTGTGTGTGTGTGTTGTGTGTGTACGTGCGCGCGTGTGTGTCGTGTGTGTGTGTGTAGATTTTATATATAGATATTAATATATAGACATAGACACATTTACTAGTCTAATTTACAAAATATTATAAATCGAATATATCAGGTCACGTGGTTAATAAGGTTCAAACACTTATATATATATGGCTTATGTAAAATACCTTTCATTTGACTCTATTGATTTTTTCAGTTTTGGAAACATTTAATTATTTAATGAAGAAATAACTTATTGTTTTTATTTTCACATTTGAAAACATTATATAATATTTTGTATACTCTTATTTGATATACTCTTATTATTACATGTGCAAACGCGTACGGGCGAATGCGTATATTCTTTGTACACACATATATAATTATATATACGTATCTATGCATATATATTTTTTATACGTGTATGTATATTAAGAATTTGGCACAATAAGAAATAGAATCACAGTTGAAATCATTGTACATTATAAGAGTTATGGTTTGTTAATACTTCCTTTTTTTATATCTGCAAGTTCAATCATAACTTCCTCTGTATTCGGAAGATATTTTGAATGTATAATGCAATTTATCTACGTTTCATTTTCGATTGTTATGTTATACCACGAAATAAGTCGTTAAGAGATCATGATTTCAGAAATAATAGTATGAACATCTAAAAATCGTTATATTTAATTCCGACCACTGTGAAGTTTTCTTGCAGATTTTTAGATTAGTCTCATTTCATTGGTTCATCATGTCAAAAGAATATTGAATCTATTTAATTTCTCAGAGCCGCACAGATGTGAATCATAGATAGTAAAAAAAATAAGCATCTGTTTTAATTTTAGACATTAGTGGTCCATTGTTCCGTTATATTTCCCTTCTATATTAGATTCTTATATATTCTTTAAAGTATACTACTATTACAGGTGCACAAGTTTCTAACATTTCCATTTAATAGTGCTGCAATCAAGTGAAAAACTATGCATATTGTTTCTAAACAATTTATCAGCATTACACTTATACTGCTTTGATAAAAATTTTGTAAAATATAACGCTACACTTTCATTTGAGTTTTTAGAAATTGTTGAAAAGATATGAATATGCAATAAATCTCTCAAAGATAAATTTTTATTTCTGTGGTAACTAACAATATGTCACCTGCTTTGTATATCAAACTATCAAGAAATAAAAATTTTGAATATCGTATTTAAGATAAACGCTCTCTTCGTAAAAATTGTAAGCGAAAAACAAACGCTTGTGCTCAGTAAAAAAAACTTGATAAAAAATTTTTTTAGTAGTTTCAATTTTAAAGGAATTATAGAGAATATAATTTTTGCATTATAAAATCGAACGAAACGATCATTTAATTTCGTATAAAAAGTATCTTCAATAAAGTATTTGTACATGCATTATTTTTAATTTGAGATCCATAAAATATTTTTTGATTCTTATTCAACTCATTATCTTCCAGTTTGGCAAAACTTCGGCAATTAATGTAGAAAAGTATGTTGTTACGTTATATACAACGGTTTCACCAGCGGCTAAAATTGCGCCAAATGAACCATATGTACCATAATCTATAATACTGTGATTACATGCTGATAAAACCGCGAGGTCTTTGCCTGGACCTCTTGCATCCATATCCGATACGAATTTGATTCTATGTTTTTTACTATTCAAATTATATTTGCACCAAACTATATTATCGCTAGTTACTACAAATACTACATTATGATACTTGCCAATAAAGTAATCCATTGCTGCAAAATAATAGCTGACTGGTGCAGGTCGGATCTTTAGTTTTTGCCATAGATAATCCACATAATCTGTTCTTCGTATGTGTATGCTTACAAATGTTGGTTCAGACAAATTAAATTCTTCTGCTACCTCTTTCAATACCTTTTCTGCATAAGCTCTTAAATTTGGTTTAAATGTAAATTCTCTTCGTACATCATCCAACCACACCAGAATAAGGGACCAGTAGGCTGCATGTCTATCAATTAAGATGTTAAAAACATTAAAACCTCAGCAGTAATAAATAATGTAAATTAGTTTACCTTGGTATGATGATATTCTGTTCTGTACTGTTCCATTGTCCAAGAGAATTAACGACCTGACTTACATCCAAATTACATCTTCCAATGTAACTAAGCGGTGGAATACTAAGGTTTTCAAAATATTCTTCAAGAGTCTTCAGTATACATCGTGGCATAAATGGTTCCAAACCAGTCCTTCTTGCAGTGGCCCATACTGATACGTATTCCCAGATTTGATTTCCAAGCCTACCACCTTGAACTGCAGAAACTATTCCATATTTGGGGCAGGGATTCCTCCACTCTGGTGGTATCCTGATATTTTTTAAGGTGGTACGACAAAGAGCTTGTTCATATGTTGAAATTTTGATGTGACGGGCTGGTGGATTGGATGTGTACATAGGAAACAGGAAGACATGGATGCCGAAGACCACTATCACAGCAAGAACTATTGCACTTGCAAGTACATGCTGCTGAGCGTGACTCATTATCCTTATATTCTTGTATGATGTAGTCACTACGTATGGGTCAATTCTTTTTCTATCTTCTACTGCTTTCTGCTTATTTATTTTCTACTCTTCAACTTCCACTAGTCCAGCATTTCGTATCTACAGGTGTGCCATGTCCTTTGCTTTTCGTCGTACATCTTTATAATGATAATATTACTTTTATTGGACAGTGCATGCTTCTTAATTAAGGATGATAACAAGATATGAATCATGTAAATAATGATGATAATAGAATTAATTGGAAAAACATCCATTGATAAGTGATATGCATTTTTTTTATTCTAATGTATAAAAATATTGTTATATTTCGAGAATAAAATGTTAATATCTCGTTCGATTTTATTTCGTCATAGGTAACATTATTAAGTAGTATATAGCGATGTTGGTCAGACAGGGAAAAGGACATGGCCTAGCATATTTTATTTAAAAGCTGCTAATTTAGCAAGGTTTTATTGTACAAAGCACGATACATGTATATCAAAATTGTTTATTGATATTTGTTTATTTTGAATCTAATGAAATTATATTACATGTTATATATGATACTACAAGGTAGTAACAGGTGGTGAGTTTTAGATATTGCACGAACTTTGATATATATACAAGAGTAATATTTACTATTCATATAGCTACATATAGCATATAAATAAAATTGTAAAGAAAAATACTTACACTGAAGTGAGAAAAAAATCATTAAAAACTTGATATAAATATTGAAAGATAGAAATAATTGTATTACGTTTGGTACTTGAATCGAATTAAATATAAACGATAATATTTCAATATCCACTCACCTGTTCCAAAAAATGATTGACATTGCATATGAAATCCACTACCATACATGAGTTTTATATTCACTACTCTTTTGTTTCTACCACTCATGTTTTCCCGGCGAAATCGATGCGTATCTCGTGCATTGACGCTTGTTGCGTATCTACACGAGATGCTTTACATTGTTTAAAACGTTACTTTTTCGACGCGAATAATCACGGTATACGCATTTTTCTTACTACGCCGGTGTTCTGGTTTCTATTCGCGACAAAACTGTTCCAATAAGTTGCAGAACAGTCAACGTTTCGTTTAGACAGAACTTGCATCCTTGGAACGAGGGATGTTGTCCCGTCGGATGACGTCATGGGTAACCGTCACCCTGGACAGTATGATGTATAGATTTTTACTTCACTGGATGTGGATGAAAGTAACTGACTGGGTATAGTAGAATACTACTATACCAGCAATTGTAAAGTAACCTCTGCTTAGAAGGTTCAATCAGTAAAATCGAGCATGGTGGCACCACTTGGACCTTGTCCCTCAGTAATCGAATTGTGTAATTTGAATTTCGCTCAGATTCGCATCCCAACCTCGCACAGTCGTATCTAATAATTTGATTCTATGATATTTTTTGTTTTGTTTAAGTTATTTCTAAGAACGTAGAGACCGTGTAACGATAATTAAAATCATCACATTACGTTCATTACGATTGTAAGTAACATTACTCGATAATTTATACATTTGTTCTACATTTTCCATAAAAAAGATTAAGTCTATAGTAATTTAACAAAGTAAGTTACGTTAACAGTGTAAAATTTACGAGCAGATGTAATAAGTTTCTATATTCAATCAGAAAGAATTCCTCTTAACATCGGGAGAAAGTAGAGCATGGAAGCTTAGCGTCTCGTCTCGAAATCATAACGAGAGCATGATAATATCGAAATATTCGGTTATTCCATTCAATCTTTTTCTCTTCGTTTCACCCACGTTTCACGTTCTTCGTTCTTTCTCATTGGTATAAGAGATCGATATATATATATAAGCTTTATTGTGCATTCGATTGACGCTTGTATCCGCAATATTGTTCAAGAGATTTCTATATCCACGATAAGACACGGAGATAACCTCTTCGGGATAAGCCGGAAAATTTCTGACAGGGTAAAACTTCACATTGTTATCCCATTGGCAGTAATTTATATAACTAGATATACTATAATTCTATCTTTCTAACAATATTAAAAAATTAAAATGTGCTATATTTTGAATGAATTATTTTTAATGAAATTAAAATTGTTTTATTTATTATTAATAACAAATTGTTCAAAACACAAGAAATAGATAATTAATAAAAAAAAAAAGAGTAAAAAGATGAATGTATTATTAGTTACTTACTTATAGAATTATACTTATAGATCACAGCCTAGCCGATCTTCATTATTTATTCTACCCATACCCCATCCTTCTTAATTTAATAATAACTTTTTAATTATTTTATTTAGAAGAATTTTTTTTTATTTCATCATTGGATTGTTCGTGTCTCAGCAGGGAGTTGTTTATTGCGTTTGTTCGTTTTTTTTTTTGTTCCTATTTGTTTAATTTTTATTTTATTTCCTATTTTTAATGCATTCTTTTTCTAATTTAAATCTTTCGTTTTCATCTTTACCTGGATTTTGCTCAGAAGACATCGTTGGACGTCACGGGATGCGTGCGCAGTTCTAAATAGTTATAAGATAGATCCCTAGGGTAAATTTAGTGTGCACGCTTTCCATACCGAGGCACGTTACCCAGACGCCATACCGAGACAAGCTAAGAGCTACGCACCTTTAATCCAGGGTACGTAAAATAATTGTATTTATTTTACAACGAAACGTATATTTGTTATATTTAGTAGATACTGGAGCTGGAAAATGGCGTACAGTGTTAGGTCCACCCTGTACAGCGTCTTTGTGTTTTCGCATTTAGAAACGTTCTTTTCGTGCTACGAAGATATCGCAGACTAAATATTAGTCACATAGAGTTCAACGTCATCTATACCTTTCCCTATCTTTTATTCGCTTCGAATCGGACAACGAACAAAAATAACGCGCTCTTACAATGCAAATACGCTCTGTATATTTCGCGAATTCTCTACCAAGCGAAAATAAACGAACTGCCCGTGGCCGTCGATATTGGACATCAAGCTGTCTCGCCGAAATCAGCCTCGGTGCATTTCGATATTACCTGGACCTCTGTTGAACCGTCTGTTTTGAAATATCGTTTCTTCCACGATCATCGAGATCCAGTTACTCGATTAGCGATTGGAAGCACAGCGTGAAAGGAAGAGAGCAGCCAGGATGAATCTCCTGCGTGAGTCATGTCGCCGTTTCTGTATGCACCACGCAGAACGCGTACTCAACCGGGCTGGCTACCCTGTTCGCGATCAAATTTCATTTAGCTCGATTCTCAGCGAGCAAAATGCAATTTCCATGCAAACTCCCGACCAACAGCGTAAACTTTCCTTGCCTAACTAGAAGTCGAGCACGAACGAATGGATCCTCCGAGTGAACCCCAAGCTAGAATAAAGGGGTGAAAGTTGCATTCGGCCGTGAGCCTTTTTTATCGAGGCTAAAATGACGCGAATCACGCCGAGCCAAGATAAAAGTCGCCGTAGACCGCGATTTTATGGCTGGCCAAGTAACTAAGCGAATTTTACGCCCCGGGACTTTATGTGCCAAGCGACGACGCATGATACTTTTTTCACCATCCCAACTTTGCCTGGACCGTAAAACTCCACTTAATCACTTTGTCTTCTAATAGACCGGCTAAGCGAGTTATCTGGTTAATCCGGCTTCGTCCTGGCCAAAGATTGCCACGCTCATCCTCCGTCGTCGACTTCCGTTTTCGCCTATCTTCATTATTACGTTTCTTCCGATTATTGATCACAGGTGTGGACAAATCGTTACACGCTGAAATCGAGGTATAGCATAGACCTAACATTCTACGAATTTTCCAGGTTCATCTTTGACTGCCTTACCCAAAGATACGTCACGAAGACAGGGTGTGAAGAAGTACTTGTGAGGTTAGGTCTACCCTGTATCTCGCCTGTGGCAAAGCCGAGGCAATGAAGGACCAGTTCGATGCATTCGTACAAACAGCTTTGGTTTACTAACGACTGGTGGCAACGCGGATACCTTGTATCTCTGCTCAGCTAGAGATTTGGTTTACGCAAGGGATAAGTCGTGGAAGGGGTAGGGGAAAGAGCTGTTGGTAGCTCACCGAAGGATCAGAGGGGATGGGTTAAAGCCAGGGAAGGGTATCTTGCGGAAATTCGATGCTAATGAAGGAAATTGCGTAGATGCCAAACCAGTATTTCCCCTATCTCTCGTCCTCCTCGTCGCCTGGCACCCTCCTACGAAGTGGTAGTAACGAATTTCTCCCCTGCTTCGTGCCTACGACTCGTGTCTCCGAGCTCGCTAATTTTCTATTTACTAACTTGCTATGTACTACGTGTTATTTGCCCCATGTAATTTCCAGACTTGTTCGTATACTTTCTTGGAACAGTGTAATGTCTGCGTAACAACGTAACGTCTAAGTAGCTGTAGTATAATGCTCGGTAGTTGCGACGAAATTTGATACAAACCAGCTGAATTATTATTAATACAGTCAACTTGGGTGCTACGAGGTTCGTGTCTGTATTATGCTTACGGGATACACAGCTATAGTCTCTTCTTTTAGGGCATATTTCACGACGAATTGCCGTTAAGTTAGAGGGAAGAAAAGGTCTGAAAGTATTATCGATTATTTATGTTTATCACCCAATAGAATTCAGGGGCTGGCTTGCTCGCTCCCTTTCGTGTTATCTCCGTCTCGTCAGAGATGTCTCCCTTATTTAAATGGGCCGCCAATGCGAGCAGGAATAGGGAGGTACGTCTTCCGAGGGCTGCGGCTTTGTTATACCGATTTTCGAGGGTAGAGCAGGGAAAGCTGTTGAGCACATCTCACCTAAGAACGTAATCGACGTATTATTTATGTTTTTCCACCGTTTTTACCATCCCGACATTACGACACGCCGTTTCTTCTACAAATTTCTACAAATCTCGACGTGACATCAAGGATACGAGCTTTTATCCTCGCCAGAAGGTGGGTAAAATTTGAACACGTTTCTTTGCATTCTAGTTTTATGTGTTCATATATAGCATTTGTCGCGTACATTTTAGCTTTACTCGTTTTTACGCGAACTGCGAAATATCTTTAATTACGCGAAATGGATACGCTTTGAAGTCGAATCCTGCGCTATCGACCGTCCTGGTATTTCAGACGTTTGCCGAGAACCCAATCAAAGAGAAGTTCACAGAGCGTAGAAGTCGACGATACGGTGAAACTCGGTCATGCTTCGGCTTATTCTTACCCGTTGCCATCGCGGACAATTTCCTACGATGATATTTCTCCAGGCCGGAAGTGCTCGGAAATGAAAGTGTCCGCGTGCAGAATATTTAAAGCGTGATCGTTTACGCGCTAGAAAATCGGGCAGGGTGAGCCGGGTCTGCGCGAAACCGGATTCTTTCCTTGGGCGGTGTTAAACTCCTGCAGCAAGTGGCCGAAATCTACGTAAATTTTAATTAATCGCGCGAGACTGGTTAATCCCCATTGCAAACGGCGGCAGTCCATTGTGATTCGCTGAAACTCGGCTGCCCCTAAATTTACTTCAGCTTTGCTTGCCTCCACCTATATCGCAAGCTCGCGCCGTTTTCGCAAACAGCTTCCCTCGTTCTCTTTCTCCAGCACGCGAAACTGCACCTGTCTCTCCAACTACGAGGAAAAGTTGTTCTTCTCTACTTTTTCCTCTCTCCCTTGGTCTCCCCGCGAGATCGTAAGTCCCTTTAGCCGCGACTACGATCCATCGATTCCGGGTGTCTCGTCGTCACCGTTCGTGGCCAGTATCCCCGACTCGGTTCGCAAGTTCGAGGTCGCTTGTCCGACAGTTTATTTTATTCGCGGTCGTACGGTCGAATGTTCTTTTTCCTTTTTCTTTGTTACTTTGGACCCATAGACACCGCGAACGAGGTATACGATAACGTTGTTGCACGACGACCTGCTAGTTCGAAGTGTGTCCATTAAAATGGTCACTGCGGAAGTTCGTCTACGTGACCTGGGTAGACACGTCAGCGATGCTGCAGAGGATCATGACGTATGATCCATTCGCGATCACTCTGAGATTAACACGTTGAGTGCAAC